TCTTCTTCATAAATTCCTTTCCTAGGCCAATGTCTAGGAGAGTGTTTCCAACATTTTCCTCTAAAATTCTAATAGTTTCATACCTTAGCTTTAAGTCTGTTACTCAGCGTCAGTTGATTTTTGTGAGAAGTGAAAGGTGTGGATCCTGCTTCAGCCTTCTACAAGTGGCTATCCAGTTTTCCCAGCACCATTTATTGAATAGGTGGATTTATTGAATAGGTTTACCCAGTGGATGTTTTTGTCTGCATTGTCAAAGATTAGATGGCTATATGAGGATGGTTTTATATCAGGGTTCTCAGTTCTGTTCCATTGGTCAGTATTCCTATTTTTGTACCAATACCAAATCAATTTAATTACTACAACTTTGTAGTATAGTTTGAAATCTGACATATGGATACCTCCCATTTTGTTTTTATTGCCTAGAATTGCTTTTGATAGGCTGGGTCTTCTCTGAATCCAAACGAAGTGTGAAATTATTTTTTCTATATATGTGAAAAATGATGTTGGGATTTTAATAGGGATTGCATTGAATCTGTAGATCAATTTGGGTAGTATAGACATTTTAATGATGTTGAATCTGCCGACCCACGAGCATGGTATGGATTTCCATCTGTTTACATCCTCTGCTATTTCCTTCCTCAGCATTTCATAGTTCTCCCTGTAGAGGTCTTTTACCTCTTTAGTAAGTAGATTCCTAGGTCCATTATTTTCTTTGTTGTTATTGTAAAGGGTATTGAGTCTTTGATTTGGTTCTCAATTTGATTGTTGTTGGCATATATGAGTGCCTCTGATTTCTGTTTATTGATTTTGCCACACCTATCAGTTCTCTCAATAAATGTGAATGGCTTAATCCCCCCACTCAAGAGACACAGGCTGGCTGAATGGATATAAAAATACAAATCAAGTATCTGCTGTCTTCAGGAAACATACCTAACCTGCAAGGATGCATATAGACTAAAAGTAAAGGGGTGGAGATCAGTATTTCAAGCAAACGGAAGCCAAAAGAAGTCTGGCATGGTAGTTCTGATTTCAGATAATCTAATTTTTAAACCTAAAAAGCATGAAAGACAAAGACGGTCATTATATAATGGTGAAGGGTACAGTTCAACAAGAAGACATAACAATTTTAAATATATATGCACCCAACTTATGTGCACCCAGATTTGTAAAGCAAACCTTACTGGATCTAAAAAAATTGATTAACAGCAACCCGATAATAACCAGAGATTTCAACACCCCACTGACTACATGGGACAGATCCTCCAAACAGAAAATTAATGAAGAAATAATGGACTTAAACAAAACTCTAGAACAATTGGGCCTGACTGACATTTACAGGATATTCTACCCAAAATCCACTGAATATACATTCTTCTCATCAGCTCATGGGACATTCTCTAAGCTTAACCATATCCTAGAACACTAAGCAAGTGTCAAAAGATTTTAAAAAATAGAAATCATACCATGTATCTTCTCATATCACAGTGAAATAAAAGTAGAAATCAACCCTAACAGAAACCCACATTTCTACACAAAAATGTAGAAATTAAACAACTTTCTACTAAATGATTATTCACAAATGAGGAAATCAAGATGGAAATCAAAAAATTCTTTGAACTTAATGACAATGGAGAAACAAGTTATCAAATCCTCTGGGACACAGCTAAAGCAGTACTGAGAGGAAAGTATTTCTATAAACGCCTATAACCAAAAGTCAAAAAGATCACAAATAGAAAATCTAATGAATTGACTCAAAGAGCTGGGAAAAGAAGAACAGACCAGGGCCGGGCGCGGTGGCTCACGCCTGTAATCCTAGCTCTCTGGGAGGCCGAGGCGGGCGGATTGCTCGAGGTCGGGAGTTCGAAACCAGCCTGAGCAAGAGCGAGACCCCGTCTCTACTATGAATAGAAAGAAACTAATTGGCCAACTAATATATATAGAAAAAATTAGCCGGGCATGGTGGCTCATGCCTGTAGTCCCAGCTACTTGGGAGGCTGAGACAGAAGGATCGCTTGAGCCCAGGAGTTTGAGGTTGCTGTGAGCTAGGCTGACGCCACGGCACTCACTCTAGCCTAGGCAACAAAGCGAGACTCTGTCTCAAAAAAAAAAAAAAAAAAAAGAAGAAGAACAAACCAACCCCAAACCCAGCAGAAGTGAAATTAACACAATCAAATCAGAACTAAATATAATTGACAACAGGAAAACTATACAGAAGATTAATAAAACAAAAAGTTGCTTCTTTGAAAAAATAAACAAAATTGACACACCTTTGGCTAGGCTAATGAAAAACAGAAAAGAGAAATCTCTAATAAGCTCCACCAGGAACAAAAAAGGAGATATCAGAACCAATCCCAAGGAGATACAAGATATAATATACAAATACTACAAAAATCTTTATGTACACAAACTGGAAAATGAGGAGGAAATGGACAAATTTCTAGAAATAGCCTCCCTAAGCTCAACCAGGAATAAACAGAATTCCTGAACAGACCAATATCAAGAGCTGAAATAGAAACAGCAATTAAAAATCTCCCTAAAAAGAAAAGTCCCAGTTCAGATGGTTTGTTTCACACCCGAATTTCACCACACTTACAAAGAAGAACTGATGCCTATCTTGCAGAAATTATTCCACAACATCAAGAAGAATGGAATCCTCCCCAACACCTTTTATGAGGCAAACATAACCCTGATACCAAAACCAGGAAAGGATGCAACAAAAAAAGAAAACTATAGATCAACATCCCTTATGAATATAGATGCAAAATTTTTCAACAAAATCCTAGCTAACCCAATCCAGATGCTTATCAAGAAAATAATCCATCACAACCAAGTTGACTTCAACCCAGGGATGCAGGGATGGTTCAACATATGCAAATTTGTAAATTTAATTTACCACATAAACAGAAGCAAAAACAAAGACCATATGATTCTTCCAATAGATGCAGAAAAAGCTTTTGACAAAATTTAACACCCTTTCATGATATGAACACTTAATAAAATAGGCATAGAAGGGATATACCTAAAAATGATATAAGCCATATATGGCAGACCCACAGCCAACATCATACTGAATGGGGAAAAATTGAAAGCATTCCCACTTAGAACTGGAACCAAGCAAGGTTTCCCACTATCTCTACTTCTATTCAACATAGTTCTGGAAGTCCTCGCTATAGCAATCAGACATGAAAGTGGAATTAAAGGTATCCAAATTTGGACAGAAGAGATCAAATTTTCACTGTTTCCTGATGATATGATATTATATTTAGAAAATCCCAAGGATTCAACTAAGAGATCCTGGAATTGATAAATGAATTTTGTAAAGTCTCCTAATTGATTTTGATATTTTATAGAATTATGATTTCTGGGTATGTGCTAGCTTTCTACTTGGTAAACTTAGCTATATTAAAATACCGCCAACTCTTTAGTGTGACAAGAACTTCAATTTTTATTATTTCTCCCACCATTTAGCTCAGCTCTCCTGCCTCATATTCACCTCTTCTGAAACCAACAGATTCCTTCAGGGGAAAATATTTTTATTTTTTAAAAATGTTTTATTTCTAATTATTATGGGTACATAATACTTATATATATTTATGGGATATATGTGATGTTTGGTACAGGCATACCATATGTTAAGATGAAATCAGGATAACTGAGGTATTCATCACCCCAAGGATTTATCATTTCTTTGTGTTAGGAATGATCCAATTCCACTCTTCAGTTACTTTAAAATATACAACAGGCTAGGCACAGTGGCTCGCACCTGTAATTCCTACACTTTGGTAGGCCAAGGCAGGAGAATGGCTTGAGACCAGGAGTTCGAGACCAGCCTGAGCAACATAGCAAGACCTTGTCTCTATAAAAAAAAATTGAAAAGTTATCCAGGCATGGTGGCACATGCCTGTAATCCCAATTGCTTAGGAGCCTAAGGAAAAAGGATCGCTTGAGCCCAGAAGGTCGAGGTTGAATTGGACTATGATGATGCCACTGCTCTCTAGCCTGGGCAACAGAGCGAGAATCTCTCACAAAAGGTAAAATTAAAATAAAATATACAACAAATTACCGTTAATGATAGTCACTCTATCATGCTACTGATTGTAATATATATTATAAAATTTTATATCTGAAGGTTTTGTTGATCTAAAACTATTATTTTTTGTTTTGCTAACCATCATTCATGGTGGCTTATCTCCTTTTGGACTGTGAGTTCGTATATGTGTGGCTGATATTAATCTGTATGATCTTGAGATATCCTGCTTGAAGTTGCATTCCTCCAGAGATACATACTATTTACTTTACCAGATGCCCTCAATTCTTACCAAAGTCAGATAAATGTAGCCTCACAGATCAGGATCCTAACCACATATGTAATGCAAAGCCTAAGTCCATGTTGGCCTCCCAAAGTGTTGGAATTACAGGTGCGAGCCACTGTGCCTAGCCTGTTGTATATTTTAAAATAACTGAAGAATAGAATTGGAATGTTGTTAACACAAAGAAATGATAAATCCTTGGGGTGATGAATACTCCAGTTATCCTGATAACTATAGCCATGAATTCTCAGTATAAGAATGTTGTTCATTTGTTTTTCTTTTTGTTTCATTCACCTAGATCTGAGAAGAAAACAGGTGATAATTGTTTACTTTACTTAAAAGAAGTGGTATATTTGTTTTGCATACTACTCTTCCAATTAGGCTGAGGCAATTAAATACTATTATTGTATGTGGGAGTGCAGAGTTTGAGAGAGTTGTAATCTATCCTTTCACCAAGGATAAAGTTATTTTGAAAAAAGAAAAACAGTCAACAAGCTTTAAGAAATTAAGATGCTTCGGCTTGACTCAATCCTATATACAAAATAAATCAACAAAAACTTAGTTTATTCACAACTTATAAGAATATGCTAATTGTAAATTCAAAATAAAATAGTTGAACATTTTCATTGCATCATGAAATCTAAAGACAAATGTTAAATAATTTTAAAATAATGCATAAACGGCACCTACCAGATCTTTATCCACAACAATAGCCATTTCAAGATATCGTGGGAATAACTTGGTAAATTCAGTTCTCTGAAAAACAACACAACATGAATCCTGAGGAATTTATAAAAATTTATCTTCTACTGAAATTATATTCAGAGATAAACTATGTTGGTACTGATTACATAATGAGGTTGTTTTCAAATACAAAATTTAAATACTAGTCAGAAGATTCCAGTTCAGAAAAATGTCCTGGTTAGTAAGAATTTTCAATTAAACGTCCCAAGATAGATAAGAACACAGATATCTTTTATTTTTGTAGTAATTGAAACTAGAAATTTTCAGTTATAACATGAAGTTTTGTTTTTCTTCACCTTGTGATAATTTTATATTAATTTTTCATGCAGGCATATTATTAGGAACTTAATTATGGCAAACAACATAGTTTATAAAAATACTACTGAAGTTTACAATCAATGGCAGTACACTAGAGACAGGTGTGTTATCTATGGTAGTTTATAGGTCTTTGTGGAAGAAAAATTCATCTCTTTGTTTTACATGTACCTATGTCAGCCACTGATATTATCCATTTTTTAACTCTTCATGAAATAAAAACTGAGAAATCTAGATTACAGAATTTTTCACCTAAATTATCTGACTAAAATGAATATTTTCCATTAATTATCTAATTGCCCACATGTGAAAATTAATGTTTTAGTTTCTTTTAGTCCTATATTCACATCTCCCTATTGGCAAGATTAAGTTTTTGCTAAACTTTCATCTAACAGCAAGCACAACAATTACCATAAATTCATTCTCTAGCCATTTTAAAAGTCATGCAGGGCCTTCATGAAAAAGTAAAATAATTTTAAGATTTGCAAGTCAAATGAAACTCGCAAATCTTATTTGCAAAAAATATTTATTTCACAAAATTATACTGAATAAGTTAAACTAAAAGTGAACACTTACCTGTGAACCTTTTCTGGCTTGATACGGTAAATCATTAAACCAAGCAAAAGTGTCATTGTCTCCTAAGAGAGGAATATTAGTGTTATCACTTGTTTCTTCATAAATCATGTGCACAAATCCTGATAGAGCTTCCAATGGTTCGATTCCATATGAGGTGTTTTTAAACTGCACTATTCCCCTGAATGTAAAATAACCAAAACAAGTCTGAAATGATTCTACCAAAACTATAAGCTAATATTATAAGGAAAAATTTGGCTAGAATTTTTTTTTTAAGATTTAAAGTCACCCAAGTTTTATACTTTCTCTCTTTGTTCCTTGAGGTCTCTTACCCCAGAACTAGACCACTATAGCACAGTATGCATATTGTCTTATATGACAAATCTTTTATTTTTATTATTATCTTAAAGAAAGCATGGTAGTAGAATGGATCTGTGTGCTGAACACATTAACTGCCATGTGTGTTGTATTTAACTTACCTCAGTTAGTTTTGAGCCCGGGGCCTTGTGAAGCATATATAATTGCATTTAGTTTGTGAAAATCTTACTTGTTGATGTTCTTGTTGTTACAATGAATACTAACAATTTAACTACATATAAATCATGCACAGAAAACAATAAAAAATAACTAGTTTTTCATTAAATTAGAAAGCATTGTTTAGTTTCTGACATTTTTATTCTATTTTTGTAATAAAACACTGTGGTCCCATGGAAAAAAAAATTTTTTCTCTAGTGTGGCAGTCAATGTGTTAAGGGCCAGAGGAGAGTTAAGGGTACCAAAGAGAAGGGATCTAAGACTGAGGAAAAGAGTGCCTACAGATTCTACAGGCTGACTTAGAAAATCTGTACAATGGTTAGGGCTCTTAACCTATTTAATACATTGACTGCCACGCTACAAAAAAATTTTTTTCCCAGAGGACCATGGTGTTTTATTACGAAAATAGAATAAAAACTTTGAAAACAAAATGATCCTTTCTAATTTAATGAAAAATTAGTTATTTTTTATTGTTTTCTGTGTGTGAGTTATACACAACTTGAAAAATAGTTCACGTGGCTTCCAGGGTGAAGAGATGTGTGAGTTACAGATGCTTCACGAGGCCCCAGGCTCAAAACTAGCATGAGTTAAATACAACTCGCATGGCAGTTAATGTGTTAATGTCCTAAATCATTTGTTTGTGTGAGCTGAATTGAAGGTACTACATGCCTAAAAGTGACTGAGTGCAGTCTGAGTGCAGTGTCTATCAATTTCAGGCATTCTACAATTGTGAATCATTCCAGGAAATTAAGAAATCAGACAGAAACAGAATTTGAGCTAATGAAAGAAGTATGGAGAGACCAATCAACTTGCCCTACACTTAAGATTGTTTATATACTCAAGCAACAGATGCTGTCAGTACCAATAAGTAGCCTCCCATTAGGGACAGATGCTGCCAGGGTGATCAACCCTCTTTTATTAGTAGTTCTGGTTCAGTCTTAGGGAATTGAAGTAACCAAAGATGATGACAGAATTAGAAAAGATATGTGGGGAATTAATTCACAGAATAGTAGGATATAATATTGGCAAACTGAATATCTTCAAATAGCCTACAACCTGAGTCCTGAACAAGTGTTGAGTGTCACAAGAGAATTTGGAAAACCCGCAACATATCCATTATAATTGCAATCCATCTGAAAAAATAAAAAAACAATGAAAAACAAATGGGTACTATTTTTAAATTAACACAACAGATGCATCATTTATAGTTATTACTTTAGCTTCCTTTGTACTTTAATATGATTAGCAATGAATTTATATCAGGTAGAAATAAGCACCAGCCCAGGTTATTCAATTTCAGTGAATGTGTAAAATAATATTCTAGTAATTACAGAATATTTGTCTTTTTAAATAAATCTAGAGTAACAAGTCTGTAATTATAAAATGACATATCTTACCTGAACTAACAAAGGTTTAGAATGTTGGACGTCATCCTTGTCATAAGAATAAATAACAAAAGTTGAAGGTAAAAATGATCTAGGTAAAAATAAAAAAACATGCTCAAGTTATGAAATAGAAAATGTAGAAAAAATTACTCTTTAAATACAAATTTTCTTTTTACTGAGGAATTTAAAGTAGTGCCAATCATCTTGATATATCCTATTTTCCAAATGTTTCCATCACTTATACTATATTAGGTACCATGGGAGGCATTTTAATTAAAGTAACATGCAATACTAAAATGTGGGTTAGTGAACAACCCAAACTGCTAGAGATATCAAAGTGAAATAACATAGGTCCCAACTTCCAGTGCAGAACTTTCAGATCTTTGTCTTTATCACTTATTGATTTCAGATTTTATACCTCAGTCTCAAAATTAAAATGTAAGGTTAGGACAAAACATATGCATGGACTCACTACAAATTCATATTCACTAAGCTTCGCTAAATGCCAAGTTCTTCCCAATAACCTTGATTAGAATCCTATTTTATTTCCCTCAGTAACTACTCAAAAACTTGACACCACTCACACATAACCCCATGTTCCTTCACTCTCAGGCTACCCATTACCATTCTCACTACTTATCTTTATTTCCAGAGGATGCCTTCTTTTATTTAGAGCAAACTTTATACTGGTGGTGCTACAGCATCTTGTACCACATGCTGAAGATACATACTTTTTTTTCCTCTCTTACAGTCTCAAACTATTGGCTTTTTATCCCAATGCTACCTGAAAGGTTATTATCAAGCGATTGATTACCATCCTAAATAACTTCTCCTTTGACCCTGTGTCCTACACCATTGCTATTCTCTGCATTTTTCCAATTCTCAAAAGATTTTATTTAAAGAGTTATCTACACATACTTCCTCCATGTTCTCAATTCTTACTCACCCTGAAATTTCTCTGGAAGACATCCACAACAATCAGAAGGTCAAATCCAAAAGGCATTTTAAAAATCATTTCTGCACTGGACTTCTAGCTGCTGCTTAAAAACAGTAACCATGCAGTCCAATCACTTGGTCTATAACAACTTCATTTTTCTCCTTCTTTTACTGCCTCTCCGACCCCTCCAGCTTAGTCTTCCATGTTGGGTATTCTTTTTGTTCTCACTATCCCAGAAATATTACTCTTTCTCGAGGTTCGATTTTTAGCCACTAATCTTCTTATAAGCACCCCATATGTGTGAGTGCTCATTTTTGAAATAAAAATTATAGCCAAGCTTCTGCTTACTATAAATCTATATCCCCATTGTTAAATCTATATCCCTATATTCCAACTGAATATCATCAGAGATTCAAATTCCTACATTCATCTATCCATGGGAAAAGCCCACTTAGATATCTTACAGGCACTGAAAATCAAGCGTACCTCTTCCTCACACAAGTATCTCCCTTGTTCATATTCCTTGGTTAATTATCCTCTAACTTATACATTTTCTTAAGCAACAGTTACATTATCTGGGATCCTTTGCTGTTTCCCAATCTGCCAGATCTGTCTTGAGTTCCACTGAATTTTTATTTCTAGTGCTATGACTGATGACATTATTCAAACCACTGTCATCCTTCACCTTAACTATTATATAGTCATAAATCAGTCACCCTACCTCTACTTTTCCCTCAAAAACAGCACACAAGACTCGATGTGATTATGTAATAAGTACGTGCTTAAAATCATTTTTGGTTCCCAATATCTTTACCATGGCATTATAGATCTTCTACCACCTCAGTCCTGCCTATCTTTCCAGAATCTCTTATCTCTATCCTTCAGAAAATATGTCCTTTAGTAATCCACATTGACTTTTTTTGCAAAGAGAAGCCACTCTCTCATGCCTCCATTGTTTTAAACATAATTTCCTCTTTAAATAGAATGTCCCCTTGCCCCACTGCTCTTCTTTACATAGCTAACTATATATCTCCCCTCAAGATGCAAGTCATCTCTTTCCTCTTCCCAAAGAGTCTTCCCTCATTTCTAAGGAATAATATTTACGTTTTTATTAAAATACCATATTATAACAAAATTCACTGTATTTCTATTAATCTACCTAAGTGTGTCTTCCTGTATTATGAATCCTTTAACTGTGTAACATGATTTATTTTCTTTTGTATGCCTATGACTTTGCCCAATACCCAGTAAACAACAGGTGGCAATACATTTGAATTGAAATAATTCTATTTATAACTACTTTTAAAAATCAAGAAACTAAAGCAGTAAAATTTGAAAAGACAAAATGACTACTTACTGCTTTTTGAGGTGGATAAAATATGGTTTTCCCTCTATTGTAATGATGTAAGCAACCTATAACGAAAGTATACAAAAAAAAATTAATAATAACACTTGTAAATAATGCATGCTAAATAATGTGTTTTCTCTAAATTATGCCTTAAAATATTGACAAAATTAATAATAATAATATATAATCATTATATTGGCTTTCCTTTCTATGAAAACCTTTAAAGCGTCAGAATTCTGGATTGAGAACTGGGTGGCAAAGCACTCACATGCCTGCTGTGCACTATTACTTACATTTCCAAGGGAGAAGCTTGCCTGATAACTGTCATCTTTTGGTTCAAATGGAACCTACCACCAAGGATGCTCACCTCACTTGAGAGGACCTATGCTTGCTTTCCCTCGGCCCTCTTAGAACACAAATTGCCCTGCTCATTGGAAGAGACACTCCCCAAAGATAGAACTACAAGAAATGTAATACACCTCCAGCAACATAAAAAGGTGCCACTGCATTTTGTTTATCTGTGTGAGCAACCAGACCTCTCCAGAGTAAAATGTAGGAGAGAATAGGACAACAAAGACATGCCTAGGGAACCTCCTAGAAGATAACATGAAATGCAGTGGCCATTAAATTGTGTATTCGGTCAATTCTTAAAAATTATTCTAGCAAGAGAAATAGCCACTTAAAAGTTTCGATTCCTTGAGTGTATTAGAGCATAGAAAGGTTCTTTGCACCGGGCAAATGTTCTGGGAATAATCCCTTGAATGGCATTCTGGAAAGGAGTGTAAGTCGAATTTGAAGGGAACATTTAAAATTGTGCCCTCTAAAAAGCCCCGTTATTAAACAAATAAGATGAAAATTAAAGGGGAATATGAAAGCAACAATAATATTTAAAATACATATATCTTACAACAAAGCTACAACAACAAAAAAAAACTAGAATAAAATTTAAAATTGTACAAAACCAACAGAAGGAAAAAAACTCTCAAAAGGTACAACATTGTCCAGAGTCTCTCCAAGTATTCATACACAATATCCAACGAGACGATGGTGTCTCGTATCAATATCTGATACGAGACGCGCTGTGACTTCCCCTCCAAAATTCACAAGTTAAAGTACTAACACCCAGTACCTCAGAATGTGACTACATTTGTATTAGTACTCCATGGCTAATGCCATACTTAATTGTGAGTAACTTGAAGCTCTATCACTAAATCAGGAACAAGGCAAGTATGTTTGCTATCACCACAACTTTTCCATATCACACTGAAAACCCTAGCTAATGCAATAATACAATAAAAGTAAATAAAATTGATACAGATTGGAAAAGAAGAAATCAAAGTGCCTTTGTTCACAGATTACATGATCATCTATGGAGAAAATCTGAAAGAATCACCAAAAAACCTTCTGGCACATACAAGCAATTATAGAAAGGTTTCACAATACATGTTTAATACACTAAAGTCAACTGCTTTCCTCTATAGCAACAATGAACAGGTAGAATTTAAAATTTTAAAAAATACTATTTATATTAGCACCCCCAAAAATGAAATACTTAGGTATAAATCTAACAAAATGTGTACACATGAGGAAAACTACAAAACTATAGTAGCAAGAAATCAAAAAGAATTAAAATAGAGAGATATCCCATGTTTATGGATAGGAAGACTCAATATTATAAAAATGTAAGTTCATCCCAACTTCATCTATAGGTCAGGGCAATCCCAATAAAAATACCGGCAAGGTTATTTCGTGGATATAAAGAAATTGATTCTAAACTTTATACGGACAGGCAGAAGACCCAGAATAGCCAACACAGTATTGAAGTAGAATAAAGTTATATGAATGACACTACTCAACTGTAAGACTTACTATAATCTACAGCAATCAGAACAGTATGGTATTTTCAAAAGAATAAACAAATAGATCAATGGAACAGAATAAAGAGACCGGAAATATATCCACACAGGTACAGTCGACTAATCTTTGACAAAGAAGCAAATGCAATAAGTGGTGCTAGAACATACCCACTGAAAATGGATCACATACCTAAATGTCAAATGTAAAACTATGAAACTCCTACGCGATAACATGGAAGAAAATCTAGATTATGTACTTGGTGATTACTTCCTAGATACGAGACCAAAGGCACTATTCGTGAAAGAAAGAATGTAGAAGCTACACTTCACTAAAATTAAAAATTTCTGCTCTGCAAAAGACACTATCAAATTAATAAGAAGGTAAGCCACAGACTTTAAGAAACTACTTGCAAAATACATATCCAATAAAGGACTGTGATCCAAAATATACTTCGAACTCTTAAAACTCAACAATAAGAAAACAACTGACTTGACCTAAAAATGGGCTAAAGGCCTTGACACCTTCACCAAAGAAGACATACAGACGTCAAATAAGCATATAAAAAGATGTTCCTCATCACATGTCATCAGTGAAATGAAAATTTAAACGAAGATATACTACTATACATCTGTAAGAATGGTTAAAATCCAGAATATTCACTTACACCAAATGCTGGCAAGGATGCAGAGCAACAAAAACTCTCATTCATTGCTGAACGAGAAAATGAGCAGGAATGCAAAATGGTACAGCCACTTTGGAAGACAGTTCGGCAGTTTCTTAACAAAACTAAACATACACTTGCCATATGATCCAGTGATCACACTCCTTGGTATTTACCCAGAGGATGAAAACATGTCCACATAAAATCAAGTACATGGTTGTTTATAGAGCTTTATTCATAACTGCCCACATTTAGAAGCAACCAAGACGTCCTTCAGTATGTGAATGTATAAACTGTGGTACATCCAGAAATGGAACATTATACAGCACTAAAAAGGAATGTGCTATCTAGCCATGAAAAGATACGGAGGAAACTTAAATGCATATTATTAAGGGAAAGAAGCCAATATGAAAAAGCTACATACTGTGATTCCAACTATACAACAATCTGGAAAATGCAAAACTATGAAGACAGTAAAAAGATCAGTGGTTGATACAGGTTGTGAGAAGGGAGGGATGAACAGGCAGAGAGAGAGGTTTTGAAGGGGCAGCGAAACTACTCCATATGATACTACAATGGTGGGCACATGTCCTTAAACATTTGTCAAAATCCATATAATACACGACACCAAAAGTGAACTCTTGGACTATGGGTAATTAATGATATGCCAACGTAAGTTCGTCAATATAACAAATGACCACTCTGGTGGGGGATATTGATAAGAGGGGGGTACTGCTCATGTTTGGAGGATTAAGTAACATGAGAGATATCTTTACCTTCTGATCAATTTTGCTTTAAGCCTAAAACTGCCCTTAAAAATAAAGTCTATTAAAAATTAATCGTGTTGAAGAAAATAATTGACAAAAGAAAGGTATCTCTTTCGGTGTCAAATTTGTTCTTAAAAGGAACAATATTACTCATGAACAGAAAGTTTCCAACTTGAAATGGTAAGTATTAAGGCACTTGCCATGACTAGCTTTTGAAACAGATTTAATACTTTGAAGAATTCAATTTTTTACATGCATGTTAGTTACTTAATATCTTTCTATCATGGGAAGAAGTGGAATCATCATGTGTAGTAACAGAGATGAAGGCAATAAAAATTGACTACAATGTCTTTTTCTGTCAGTGGACATTTTAAAGAGTTCAGAGATGCAACATACTCCTGCAGAATGGAAAAGCAATTTAAGAAGGGTAATGTTAACTTCATGTCAGTACATGTTCAGTATACCATCCTGACAACGCTAATGCCCAGCATGTTTTCTTGCTAAGAAATGTTCAATTTTAAAAAAAGAACGAAGTAAATTAGATGTGAGCACTGTAGAAATTATGTTACAATATAAATGGAACATAGAGTGTAACTGCAAGGGGTTTTATAAGCAAATTCTGCAAAACAGGGAACTGTTAAGAGAAGTCAGATCATCAGGAAAATACAAATGAAGAGAGAAGTACCTAATTTAGATACTTACAATTTATTTCAGATGAGCAACAGATAATTTTAGTATAAGTAAGCTCATGCAATATTTCTCTTTTATGTTTATATATACATGCAATTAGAAATAGGCAATTAGAAATAATTCAAATTTAACTGGGTGTAACTGTGTTTTTACTTGCTAAATTGTGGAGCTTTTCAGGTCCTTAGGCACTCTTTCCTTTGCAGGTCCTAATTCATATTACACCAAACACATTCAAACACAATTATATCCCACATTAACAATTATTTTCTGTTGTTAAAAAATATTAAAACGTAGCTTTTTAAGTTGGTATAGTTAAAAGAAACACACTGAATTTCTACATTATTAAATGCCCTTTTAAAAATACTAGAGATTGTACAAATGGGAAACTGAAAGACTGTTCATAAATAATAGAGTGGGCGGTATTATTCATAAATAATAGAGTGCGGTATTTCCCTCAGGAAAAAAGGGAATTTACAAAGGTGAAATGAATCAGAAAAGGAAGCTGGAATAGGGCTAATACACCACAACCTAGCTAGTAATTCACTCAGGAGGCAACAGAGATGGGTGTTCAAAGCTACATGGCATGCATGTTGGTAAATAAAACCCAGCTACTAAAGGAAGAAAAGGTGAACAAAGGGTACATGGGAAAAGGTAACCCTGATACAAACAGTATTTCCTTACATCAAACAGGGAGGAAAGGCTTTCAAAACCTCTAAAAGGAAATAAAATAAATTTGGAGACCTATAATTATGACTAGCATGGTTCCATCCTGTTAGAAAAAAACCACGTGAGAAGTAGATTTTCCTAGGGAATTACTGGAGAATGAACAGCCACTGATACCCAGCTAAGACTGTGAAATCCGTGTACTAATTACCAGGTAAACTGAGGCTCATCACCATGCAAAATCCTTGTTGACTCAACAAAAAGCTGACACAAACAGCTGGTGGAATCACTGGGGCTACGACTAGGGTATCAGAAAACTCAGTAATCAAGATAAATAATATTTCAATACAACATTTTTAAAATACCTAAAAAATACATGAAAACCATGAAAAAAAAGTATCAACATTTTACAGAAAGACAGAATTTGTCCCAGTAGTTTCATGATTGACCTCTTGCCTCACCTTAATTCTGGTCCCGGGGAAATTCCAGTTTTTGGCTACCCACTAAAATTTGAACTTGGAGGATCCTGTCCCCAAAATTTGGCCCTAAAGGATCTTGTCCCTAAAATCTTTCCTCGTCAACAGAAACATACACAGAGTCTCACGTGTGCATTCACATCAAAATGCTCCTGTGGGGAGCATTTTGCTGTCTGCTGAGCTGTCTGCTCTCCCTCCGAGCAGTGTGTCCTGCCTGTATTCAGCACCTTTGGTCTTCAGTCTTGACTTTAAAAGGCAACTTAACAAAATTTAAGATTAAAAAAAATATTATTTGCCAATTACATTCTTTTCGGGACCTTTGTTCGCACCCAATGATGAAATCTTCTCAGGAACTGTGGTGTGCAGAAAGGTCTTGTGAGGATCTAAAATGAAAATAAAAATAAGCAGTTATTTTGATCCTTGCGATCTTACATTATTCATTTCTAAGTCTGATCCTGCATTTGTTTCTCGACATTATCAGTCATTTTGAAAATAATCTACACATCTTGCCCTTCCTACAGTCTTCCCAGGCTACGCGTTTCTGACAGCTCCCCGCCTCTCTCTCCTCCTCCTCCTCCGGGAAAAGGCGAACACAGACTACCAAGTTACAGTGCTGTGAAGCGGGTTTGAAATGGGAAAACACAGATGCATGGATAAAGTGAAATCATCTGTACAAAGAACATGCAATATCGGATGCCAGGTGGATCTGCGGTTTGCAATGGAGCAGATAGGGGATAGTAGCTGCCAAATTAGGAAATCATTAGCAGCTTCTTTATTGGTGCTTGCAATGATTCCTACAGTAGTAGAATTTTGTTACGTGGGGGGGGAAAAAAAAAAACACGTTTGGTTTTTGCTCATTTTACAGATAAGGAGACCATGTCAAAGAAGCGAAGAGATTTTCTGCCCGAGGCTGCCTGCCTGCCTTTTTGGCCCCAGACCTTGCAGCAAGGGGCCAGGAGAAGGTGGGCGGGGAGAGCACGGACCCGGGTACAACCGGGGCCTGGGCCCCGGCGGGGAGGACAGCCAGCCGCCTACGGGGAAGCGCGCAGTGGAAGAGGGAGCAAGTGCCCGGCCTTACCCGCGCCTGCGTGCAGCCAGCCGGGCCCGGCGAGCAGCACCAGCAGGAGGAACATGGCTCGCCGTGGGTGCCGCTGGCCCGCACCGCCCAGTAAAAGCGGTTGGCGGCCGAGGCGCGGAGGCGCCGCCCGCGCAGGGCAGCTGCGCGCTCCAGGCCGCGCGCCAGGGCGCACGGGAGACGGGCACGCGGGGCCCCCGCTCCCCGCGGGAGCAGCCCGGCGCGGGCGGCCCTGCGCTCCAGAGAAGCCCTGGGCGTTGCCGCGGGGTCAGGTGAACGTTGGCAAGGGCTGCCTGGTTTTCACTTCTCAGGTTAGGGTGTTTGTTGCCCGGAGAGGCTTTCGTCCACCTCTTTCACCTGGCCGTGGCTTTTTAAATTTGATCTCCGGTTACAGCGAGGAAAAGAAATAAATATGAAAATGCTCAGGTTGCCGATGGCAAAAGTTTCCCTCCTGTTGCATTAATGCACCGTCCAGAACAGTGGACCTAGAGTTGGGCGCTGTGCGTTTGCAAAAAAATGTTGCAAACGCTGTGGCTTTCTTTTTTGAGACAGCGTCTCGCTTTGTCGCCCAGGCTAGAGTGAGTGCCGTGGCGTCAGCCTAGCTCACAGCAACCTCAATCTCCTGGGCTTAAACAATCCTCCTGCCTCAGCCTCCTGAGTAGCTGGGACTACAGGCATGTGCCACCATGCCCGGCTAATTTTTTCTATATATATTAATTGGCCGATTAATTAGTAGGGACGGGGGTCTCGTTCTTGTTCAGGCTGGTTTCGAACTCCTGACCTTGAGCAATCCGCCCACTTCGGCCTCCCGGAGTGCTAGGATTACGGCCTGCTGTGACTTTCTAAATCAAATGGTTGGCCACACCATTACAGAACAGCTGTTTAATACAGACCGTCTCATACAATCCCTGCTGATATGGAGACTTCCAGCATACCTTCTCTACTATTCCAAGCTGTTATTGCTATACTTAGTGTAATCCTGCAGTCCCTAGGTTTTTACTCCTTTAATTAGCCCTTTTAAAATTCTACCTCTGTTAGAAGCAGAAACAGTTTGATTTTAGGGAGTCCATGGGGATTCTTTCAGGTCCTAGCCCACATCATGCTTGATACACTACAGTTCAGCCACATCCCCACATTAACTATAATTTTACAGTAAAAATGCTGAAAGTATATTTATAAATTTGCTTTGAAATTACTTGTCTGTTACACAAAACTAAGGGAAGTTATTAACAGAATTACATAACAAATAATCTTTAAATAGAACCAAGTGACCAAGAAATAAAGTGACAATAGATTAAACAAATAGTAGAATGGATATGTTTGCTTAATGAATTACTAATTTGGAATATCAGATTGACAACTGTCCCAGAAAGGAACAGGGAAAGATAACAAAAAAATAGAAATACAAAAATAAAATGATATGGAAAACAGAAGTAGAACTGCTAATATCCAGAGAATAGCATTTCTAAAAGAAGAGAAAAATCAAAATAGGAGAAAATATTTAAAGGGATAATGGAAAAAGTTTCTGTAAATTTAAAAATTTACAGAATTGTAAATTATCTGTAAGAGAATAACCTTAGATTGGAAAGGACCCAGAGACTAAGAATTGGGCATGGAAAAGAAAAATATAAAATAAAACACACCTGAAATTTAAAATGACAGCAAGGAGAAAATTCTAAAATCTTCCAGAGGAAAAGAACAGATCACCTACCAAGGAACAGATCAGATCAACATTAATAGTCATACTGGAGGCATAAAATCAGTGGGTTCTTATTATTAAAATGTTGACTGTGAACAGAACTTAGGAACATTTTTCAAGTGTTAAGACACAATTTAAAAAATGTTCTCCAGTATGTAAGTTTGAAAAGGTTTGCCATAAAGATCCATATTGGAAAGGCATTTCATAGAAGTAACCACGCAGGGAAACAGGAGATGCTATTAAGTGGCATCAGAAGTAATAATAATAAACTATCTTTAAAAGTTTACATGTAAGAAAAAAATACCAAATCAAATAATAAGAGCATATATTTCTAATACCCAGAATAATATTTTTAAACAATATTACTATAATGGGAGGGATGGAAAGGGGAGATGCCAGAGTAATAATCTCAGTTTGAAATATTTTAACATCTATTTATATATCTAAATAGCTATAAAATATATCACCAAAAATTGATAGGAATATAGGGGAAAATTGACAAAAGTATCATCAGAGTTGGAGATTAAGCACATCTCTTATGTTAATAATTATATTGATAAGTCAAGCAGACAAAATTTAATGAAATATATATGTGTGAATTGGATGGCAAAGAAGCCTGATCTATTAGACATTTGTACAATCCTAAATCAACTATAAAGAACACACATTCTTCCCAACCACCCAAGGAACATTTACAAAATGATCATATCCTTGGTCTTAAAAATATTTCAACCAATTCTAAAGAATAAGCACATAGTTGAGTTTATATTTGTTTCCAGTTATATTGATAATCACTTCATACTAATTGGACCATTATTCAATTTAAAATTAAGGCATTATTGATATATTTGGGCTGTAATATATCATCTTACTGACATCTGACTTTCTATTTGCTCTACCTTTTTATGTTTTTCTCTACATTCTTGCCTTCTTTTGATTAATCATTCTTTATATGACAGCTATGTAGTTTTAAAATTTTTCTTTTAGTGGTCACCTTAGAATTTTAGCATCTGCTCAGGATAATCTCCCTATCTCTATGTCTGCTATTAACCTTAATTACATTTGCATGGTTCCCTCACAGAAATACCTACTTTGGTTTTTCATTGAATAATTACAGAATAGGAATCTTGGAAAGATATCTTTAGAATTCTGCCTAGAGGAATGTCCCCAAGTCCTCTGGGTCCTGATCAAAGAGATTTGGACATGATCCTTCAGGTGTCATTCTTTGAGAATGAGGTGGTATGATGTTTTAGCAGGTCTGTGAGAGAGTATCAAAGTACAGTCTCCCTGATTCTGCCATAGCGTATACTCACTTTAACCTTCTGTTGCTAGGTGTTCATTCTACTTCTGTCAAAACAGAATGGCTTACAAAGTTCACTGAGTCCTTCCTCAACCCAAGATGCCTAAGCTGAATTGGATCATGTTCAACCTGAAAAGTTATATGAGGAGATGAGAGCGCCGTTGAAATGATGAGCAAGGTTCATCTCTCCACACAAGAAATAGCTGACATCCTGAAACTTCACCTATGAGGCACTCTTCTCTGTCCTTAGAGCTGCTACATGATTAAGGGATGGCTCCACCACCCTCACCTCCAAACGACTAAGAAGTCAACCACATAAAACAGCCTCTTAGTGTAGGCTCGAAGTGAAGGGTGAAGGAGCCCATGTCAAGTAAGCGGAATTGAAGACAATACTCATCAAATTCATCCGGACCCCAGAGTTCCATCAAGATGTTCCTTCCAGAGTTCTATTACTTGTCTGCACCTAATAGTTTAGTGAACTTGTCTGGCATTCTAATGGTTGGAGAAATGTGACCAGCATAGAATTTAGCAAGTTCCTATATGTTCAAGTTTCCTATATGTTCAAGTTCCTATACGTTCAAGTTTTTCATTTCAGACTGAATTGAAACACTAACTTTCCATGTCAATGTTCACCAAACTCCTAGTGTACATTGACACCAAACCATGCTGTTGATGTGAAGACAAAGCCTACAGACTCTCCGACACATCAAACCCTGAAAGCAATTAAGTGAGGGAGTGAATAAAATGGACATGAAGAAAAGGATATTGCCTGTGTGTGGGTCCAGGCCAGGGGGATTCCTATGACAGCAGGAGAATACCTTTCAGTAGCTCGTAAGTATGAAGTTAGCTACAAATTAGCTCTTGCCCCAGGCACCCTACTGACCCTTCCTGTTACTGGCAGATTGCAATGGGCCACTCCCTATCCTCACTTCAACTAATTCTCACTCGGTTTATGCAGATGGCAAACTCTTCTTTCGGTAGCTACATTATCTGTGATGCTGTAGTACTTGCTCAGAAAACACATTTTTGCCCCTGCTGTCTTTGAAGAGGGCATATTCACAGATGAGGTTAGCAGAGCTGGACCAAGGGGCTAGGCAGTTCAGCTGGATTCAGAAAGTGCACATGCATTCTATTACATAAGACAATAAACTGGAGAGGGAGACGTGGAAATGTAGTGACTGGAAAAACCACAACTCCTCTGTCCAATTCCTCCTGGAGCTGACCTACTTCAAATAGTGTTCTTACTAGCTGAAATGCATTGTATTATAGACATGCACTAGCTGCATACGGTGTTCTATGTGAAATAACTCTTCATATGTGTCCACAGAGAAGAATGTGTAAGAAAACAAAGGAAGCATAAATAAATAGAAACATATCATGTTAACAGATTGGAAGATTTAATATTTTTAAATGACAGTACTACCAAAAGCTATCTACAGGTTCACTGCAGTCCCTGAGAGTCAAAATCTCAAAGGCGGTTTGTTGGTTTTTTTTTTGCAGAAATAGAAAAATCTATCCAAAATTCTACTTGAATCTTTCAGGATTTCTCCAAACAAGTTAAAATTTAAACCAAATATACTGACTCTATTAAGGATTGTGAAGAAGCTACTTCTATAATATGTTAGTTAAATACTCAGATCCCATAAGCAGAATCTTCTGTCACCCTTAAATTATAGAGAGAAATAATTTGTAAAACTGATGGAAACATAACAGACCAATATGTGAAAAGTTTATCTTAGATTTTCATCATTTAAAGATAGGATTGAACAGATTCTTGCAGAAAGCATTTTTGGGACTAGACAGACCAGCATAGAACTGGACAGAAAGGATTCTGATCAGCTCTACAGCCTGCCAATGAGCATCCAAAAACACTTAAAAAGAATGTGAGGCTCTTGGCCATTTTTTTGAACTTATGAAAAGAAGAAAAAATATTGGATATTATGAAATTATGAAGCTCACCAGATCTCTAGAGTTATGTAAACCATAAGCAAACACCCTCAGAATATGTATCACATGTCTAAGAAGTTACTCATGGGAGTCTTTATCAATTGCAAAGAACACAGTCCTCCTGAGAATGAATACTACACATCTGCCTACATAAACTCTTCTTCACTAAAATTAAGGAAGATGAATTGACAATTATTTT